AGTTGGGGATGGAGGAGGGTAATTAGCTATTGAGCAATGCGAAAACTGCTGATAATACTGAGGGACCTTATATATGAATGCTTAGATAGGTGTCGTATTCCCATAGGTTGATGGGGATCAGCTGAGAGTCAGCTGATGCGAGCTTGACTAACGTGACCTGCCAGAACTAACGCTACGCTTGATATCTTCTGAAGGACGACTGTGAGGACCAAAGTGAAGGATTTAATTGCAGAAAACAGTACACCTCCATGAAAGCAGTTGCAACCCATTCAAAATATAAACCCAAACTTTAGTATCAGTCATAATGGGTCACGAAACAAACAAGAGCTGATGGCAGTCTGCACGTATTCCACAATAATTTTGTTACACAAAACAATAATTTGTCCTTGAAAGACCTGAAGACTTGAAATTAATCTAGGAACAAAGATACTTTTATGATAATAAAATAATAAAATTTCAGCATTTGTATAGTGGTGCATAGGCTGCATATTCCACACACACACACACACACACACACACATATAAGTGTAGGACATTAGTGTTTAGTATTTACCAAGAGTTTGAAAAGATGGACAAAAATGGGAAAAAAACTGGACAGTCCACAAAGATCAATCATAAAGACATTAGGCTTGCCGCAATAGACGGAAAAAAAAGAGAGAATCAGATGGTGGGAGTCACAACATCTGCCAGAAGGGCTAATGCGGTAATGCTAACCAGAAAAACCTGAGAGGTAACAATAAAATACAGGTAGCCTAAAAGTCAGGTAAGCGGAGGCAGTGCAGCAGATAGCTTACAGGCAGCTTACAAAGGTATTATGTACGTTTTGAAATAGTTTTCAGCCACCAGACGAATCTGTAGTCGATAAGGCAGAGACTAAAACAGATCAAACTGATATAGATAGAGTAACTCAGAGCTGAACACATGTGTTACACCTGTTGAAAGAAACTTTTATCTCCTCTTCATCCTGACATTTTAAAGAAATGCATTCAAATATGGTTTAAGCATATAATGTATTTAGAATTTTAAGAGCCTTCTAAAAGGAGCCAGGCACTGATAAAATGTTTACTAGAACTTAATGATGTCCTTGTGGTTTATATGTTGACTGAAAAAAATAAAATAAAAAAAACACACACATCAGCATACACATCTTTTGAATGGGTGTCCATTGCTCTTTAGAATCAGATGGATGGTGTATTAAGAAATTGCAGAGGCAGGATGCCATGGGTGAGCCTGAGATTGTCATTTATGGCGTCATGATTCATTCCAGAAGATTAGTTTCAAATAACATCCCAGCATGAGCATGAACATGAATAGAATTTCAATTATATTAACATGTATCTAATCTGGCTGAGGTGGGGCACGTTTGTGTTGTGGAATTGTGTGCCTATCCTTAAAATGAGCGACTGTAATTACTGCTGAAGGATTGTGTACACAGCAGCTAATAATGACACTATGTGGATATTTCCCTGAGAAATGAAACCTCTTTTTGTAAAGGTTAGGGGAGAGCGGGGCACAAAGTAACACTTTTTGACTTTATCAGTTTGTGTAAATCCACATCGTGTTCAGAATATATATTTTTTTATCCACAGTAATTTTACACTTGTCTAGTACACACATGTCGCTTTGTTTCATAATTACAGTGTATACGTTTTTCTTTATTTACCCTCAAAAATTGGAAGTGAAATGTGACAACATGCCCCGTAGGTGGGGTACATTGTAACATCTGGGAGGCACGTTGTAACATGACCATATGACAGCTTAAAATCTTATCTGATCGAATGAAAAAAATATAAAAGACAAACTAAAATATTTTGTTAAT